GCTGCTTGGACTTAAGTGAGCAACTGTTGTCTGTGATGAAGATGAACTAGACAACACCGGAGTCTCACTGATTAACTCCTTCCTCAGCTCAAAGCCAACCCCAGAGATGCAGGTGTTTCTGGCTGGAACAGGTGAGCATCACAGTAAATTAGACTGGGGCAAACTTGAGCTTGCATTATTTAGATTGTATGCACTTTTTCTGCTCCAAAGCATGAAAGGTAATAGGTGAGATTACATTTTCATTTAAGATAATTACCATAATTTATTTTTGTGGTTGGCCTGTGAAAAAAGATTTTACCTTCTTTAAAACAGGAGCTGGAAACATTAGATAGAATAGAATGGAAATAAATAGAAAATCCCTTTATTGTCCCTCAGTGGGGAAAGCTTGGTGCCACAGCAGCAACAACATTCATTAAAGGAGCAACAAAGGAGAGTAAAAAATAAGAATAAACAAGAAAATATCTAATAGAAATACTTAAAAGATTCATTGATTAAAAAATAAAAAGAAATTCTGAATGTACGGTATAAACATTTTAAGGAATACAAATATTTAAAAGAATTGAGACAAAAATAAGTAACGAATACCACCGATGTGCGTTATTTAAAATCGATTTGCTCGTGTGTAATTTGGTTATTCCAGATTCAGTGTTACTGTAAAAATAAGTTTGTTTCCAAATGAAAAGGTTCAACCATACATATCTGTAGATAAAGGAAAATGTGCACATTGCTGTCACTTTTAAAAAATATTGAGTTTGGCCCGCGACTTCGTCCCAGTTTTTAATTTCGGCTCGGTGTGAATTTGAGTTCGACACCCCTGTGTAAAGGCCTTCAAGGCTGCAAGCAAAAGCATTAAAGTAGCTGTCCGTATTTTTTTTATTTGATGGTACCATCTAGTGGCTGACAAGCATATCACACCATGACCTAGTTTCATTTCCGTAGTTACGGGCAAAAGCAACGCCGATCGATCATGAATGTGCTCCTCTAGTTGACAAAACAGTGCTAAAACACATTGTTTTACGGTTATTACAGTATCATGCCATGTTGTGTATTCATATATTTATATTTTAAAGATGTATATTTGGCCATGAGAAAGGTCGCCAACTCTGCATCAACCGAGGTGCGTCCTTTAATGTTTGAGCATGCTCTTTGACTGACGTCTGTACATAAGCAGTGGCCTAACGCTATTGGTTAGTGCTGACCGACAGTTCATATTGCAATGAGCTCTATGGGACAGGGAATGGGCTTAGCATAAAAAAGACATATTGCATGTGTGTTTCGACCATTCTAGTTACATACTTTGAGATTTATTAGCTTGTAAACATTTGTAATTACCATGACTACAAATTAGGTACATCGCATTTATGACATCACCACACAATCTCCTCTCCCTTAGCGTAGCTGCTACTTACAACATGGCCAGATTTATGGTGGTTCTTTCCTTCTTATGGAAACATTAGAAATTCGCTGAACTTACAGCCATTTTCCCACTGTTTTTCTCTGTGACTGGTTTGATGACATAACTTTGGTGATGCGCATTTGTAGTCCTGGACATATTTTCACAAAATGTTCAAAAATAAGCGCTCTCTTGGAATCAGAATGCATCTTTAAAATTCATGGACATCATATGTGAAATCCAAGGCACATAGCAAGCGGAATTAGAAAACTTGCATTAATTTTTTCGTTCTTCTGGGGACCCATGGTTTGGAAGTAGATGGATGTGACTTGGGCTTCCCATTTGCAGTTTTACCAGTTCTGTTCGGAGTCTGGTTGTCATGGTCTGCGTCTGCGTCTTCCCTCATGTGTCTCCTCATGTTCTCCATCCCTCTCTAGTTTCCCATATTGTGTCTCATAAGCACCCTCATGTGTCTTTTGTCCGCATCTCATTTATGTGTCTTCTGTTGTAGCTCCAGCCTTTTTGTCCCCAGCTCCCTCCTGGTTCTCTTCACGCCTCTTAGTCTCCCCATCTCAGTTTATATAGGTCTTTTACTTCAGTGTGTGTGCGTGTCTTTCCCCAGCTCGGTGTGTGTGTGTGTGTGTGTGTGTGTGTGTCCTTCCCCAGCTCGGTGTGTGTGTGTGTGTGTGTGTGTGTGTGTGTGTGTGTGTGTGTGTGTGTGTGAGTCCTTCCCTCAGTCTTTAGGTTTAGTTTTGTGTTTTATAGTTTTAGGTTTTTCTGCCCTCCTCTGGTTCTGTTCCCCATTTAGAAAATTATATTCACCTGCTTTCCCTCCAGCCCTCACTCCACACACCTGCTGCTTGTTTCCCTAATTGCTCCTCCCAGTCTATATAAGCCCCGTCTTGTCTCTGTGTTGTGTCTGTCCATTGTTGTTTGTCAGCGTTGTTTTGGTGCTCTGTGTGAGCTTTGCATCTCGTTCTCCAGGTCTTTGTGCTCTAAGTGAGATTTTGTTCTAGTCACCAGGTTTGTGCTCTGAGTGAGCTTTTGTTCTCCTTTTTTTGGATTTTTGGATTTTTGGCTCGCTGCCTTTTGGAATTATTTTTGTTCATCCTGCAAATAAAGGAATTTTACTTTATACCAACTCCTGCCTCTTGTCGTCTGGGTAATCTGCATTTTGGGTCCTAACCATCCCCTCAACGTGACACTGGTTTTGTTGTTGGTGGGGAAACATTTAGGTGACGAACCTATTGTCTTTGAACGCAGCCTGTCCTATGTCGGCTGGCGGAGCTGTCAGTTTGTTGCCTTGGTAACGTGTGTGTTTTGATCTCTGTTTTTCCGACAATGGATCAAAAATATTACTGAATCCTCGAGTTCAATCGTTGCCTGGAGAAAATTAATTGGACCTTTGAATTGTGTTTATTGAAAAACCAGCTTGCTTGAATGGCAGTAAAAAACATCTCCTATTCCACCTTTAAGTAGGTGTTGCTAAACAGATCGCTTTTCTCTTTTAAGGTTTAAAGTAAATGTAAATAAAGTGAAAAATGTAGAAAGCGCCAATAAAAAAATGATCACACAAAAATACTTTGGTCTACCTTCTGCATCTTTGATTCTGACAATGCAAATACAGTGATTGCAAACAGCAGAGCAGATATGTTGGTGACAACAGTGTGAAGGACAGTGAGCAGAAGCCGATGTCTGATCTGGGTTTAATATTGGAATGGGAGCACCAATGTGAAACTGGGACAATGTTTTTCAGTATATCTGGTTGTTAATGTGACAGGATGAAACGGAGCCAAGAAGTGAAGGAGAAATTAAAACTTCTACCTTTCTTCACTTTCTTAGACGGCTGTTTCTTCTTTAAGAATTTGGTGATTTCCTGCGGTGGTTCCATCTCCTCCGCATCTCCAGCCACCTCTGCTATTGTCTCAACGCCTCCTGGGTGACAGACAGAGATAATAAACCAATAAGAAAACTTTTTTCTTCATCTCTTTTGTTAGAAATTCCCTCAGATATTTTTTTATTGTGGAAACATAAAACCAGTTAGCAACTCGACACAAAAAGACAGGGATCAAAGAGGCGGATTGCTGCAGGACAGTAAAAGAAAGGCAAATGTTTATTTTTTTCACCAGGTTTACAATCAGCTTCATGAGCCACATCAGAAAGCTTAAGATTGCAAAAGATTGAAATTCTTTTGTAGTTTTTGTGGTGATTTCAGGCAGATTTCAAATCTAAGTCTCATCCTTTAAGCTTGAAAACCATTAGGTTGGTAACAAAGTAAGTAGCAGCCCAAAAGAAAAACTCCTTTACTTTAATTATGGGTACAGATACACATCTCACATATTTTAAAATGTTTCTAATGACTTCTTTTAAGGATTACTCTAAAGAAACAATAATTATTTTAATTGCACTTCCAAATCTGTCAACAATGAAACTTTCATGGTTGCATCAGGTACAAAAATAACCATTACTGAAAACATAGAGAGCTCAGATTTTAAAAACTAAAAAATTTTAATGAATCTGATTTACTATTATTTTACTTCATTAATTAAATGGGGTGGTTCTTTTGCACCACTTTTGCCATTCTTTTTCTTATTTAGCACACTCTCATTCTGTTGAACAACACGTCACAGTTTTGAAATTTAATTTATTAAAGTGTAGAAGTGTGTGTGTGTGTGTGTGTGCGCGCGTGCGTGCGTGCACGTACGTGTGTGCGGGCGTGTGTGTGTGTGAGGGAGAGTGAGACAGACAAAATCCCTAAAATCCCTTCGATCAGTCTGGATTTAGGGAGCTCCTGAGTCCAATGAATTGGACGCCTTGTCTCTCTTGCTCTGTCCCACCTTTGTCTTCTCTTCCCTTTGGCTCCTCTTCCAACTTTTCCTTCTCCACCCATGTCTCCATCCCCCATCCCATACTCCTTGTCTTTTTCTTTTACCTTCTTTCCTTATCATCGTACTCTTTTATTTACTCATATTCCATCTACTCTTATCTTCATCTTCTCTTTTCACACATTTTCCTTGATCCGTTCTTTAATTTTTTGCCTCTGTCCTCTCATTTCCACTGCTCCCTGAGGATTATGTCCAGTTTCAGGGTATTTATGTTTAAATCTCCTTACACACATTTAAGTTTCATGAGTGTGTGTGTGTGTGTGTGTGTGCTTGAGACAGTGAGTGCATGTGTGTCTGCCATCAAGTCGACCCTTAAGGTGTCTGAGAATGTGTGTGTGTCTCCATGTCCCCCACTGTGGCAACATTTGTGTGAGTTCAGATTATCCTAAACCCTGTCGAATATTTATCCTGGTCTTTTATAAAGCCAATCTTGTTCTCTTTGGTGAGACCTCAGCCTGTGGCTTCTCACACGCACACGCACACGCACACACACACACACACACACACACACACACACACACACACACACACACACACACACACACACACACACACAGTTGTTTGAAATGGGATATGCCTTGCCTCTAATTGGGCATTGGGCAGGTGTTTTTCTAACACTGTCTTACAATTTGTGTGTGTGTGTGTGTGTGTGTGTGTGTGTGTGTGTGTGTGTGTGTGTGTGTTTCGTTTAACCCTAATTTTTGCATCAACCTCAGGTAAGGAAATTGGCCCCCGCTGCAGCAGCTTTACTCTGAAACAGGAATGAAATCACAGTCAGGCTTGTTTCCCGCTAACCTCTCACACATTCCTGCTTCTCCCTGCCTCTCCGTAAATAGACGGGAGATTACCACCCGGCCGGAGTTGTGGTGTGTTTCTGTGTTTCTTTAGGCCATGTTACGGTCTATCCTTGACTCACTGGACAGGTTATCAGTTTGACCAAAATTACAGTCAAAAGTTGTGGTAAATGCAGGAATTATAGTATTTATTATAATTTGACACAAAACTAAATGAATTACTTTATATATAAACTACATTTGTAAATGGCAAACAGATGAATTTTACTGTATCTGCTTATATTTAATTGTATGTATTTTATGTCTTTACTTAGTTTTTTTAACTTTGATTTGCACCACTTTGTAATTTTTGTTTTAATAAAAACTCTTTGAACAATTATTCCCAATCTTTTAAAATATATTTCTATTTATTACTTAAAGAGCAAGTCACCCCCCTACCAAAGTTTTACTCCACTGACACCTCCTGTTTGAAAAATGTGCCAAAATGTCTGGAAGATTTTTCTTGACCTCCACCAGAGGGAAGAGAGGAAATGGAAGGACAGAAGAATTTTTGGAGGAGGCGAGCGGTTCTGAGTCGTATCATTTCGTATTTGCTTGTGAGTGAGTCAGCAGGACGTGCGGACGAGACTCCGCCGCAGTGCAGAGCAGCCACGTCAGAAACACTGGCTAAGTTCACCACTTAGCCAATAGCGACGGCTAAAGCCTGATTTATGCTTCTCCGTCTGTGTCAGTGCGGAGCACACGCAACGTCATTATCCGTCCTTGCGTAGGGATCCGACAGGCACGCAAGTACGTACGGAGTCGAGCCCACTTTTTTAAACATCCGTCGAACGAGACGGATTACGCAAGCTTGTGATTGGTCAGGATGCCGCTGTTGTTTACAGTGCCGCCATTGCAAAGAGAGCCGAGGAAAACTAGCGGCAGACACGGAGAAGCTTGAAGACTACCTCGCGAAAAAACTCTAAAATTATTTACGTTTAATTCTCCCGTGACTGGAGGAGTGAAAAGATGCGCAGCAAGCGTTTTATTTGTGGACGGAAATGACAGGAAACGTGGGTTTAGAGGTGGGGAGCGCATGAAGAGATGGAGGAGAATGAGAGACAAATATGTCCGTGTTAAAAGTCTCTTATATACACAAAAAACACAATATAAACACACGATCTTGGACAGATACTTTTTTTTCTTTTTTTTTTTTGGGTGCACCGTTCCTGGAGACACTGCAGCGCTACGCCCTCTGTTGTCCTGCCGGGGAATTTCTTTGCAACACTCTCCAGGAGACGGAGAAGTATGAAAGCAAAACGCTTCAGTCAATCCGTGCGTGTCTGTCCCTTGCGGAGCTGACGGAGAAGCATAAACCAGGCTTAATACAAATTCAAATGTGGTGCAGACTTTTAACCTGAAGAAGGAGCTACACTGCCAGTTCTTAGACTGAATATTTAAATTTGAAACAATATGCACATAAATGCCAAAAATGATTTTACATGTCTACAGCACTATTAGACACTCAATTATATAGTTTATCAGGAAAAAAAGTTGATTTGGGGATGATTTGCTGCTAAAATCATTTAAATTTATTAACTTATCTCACTTGTTAATGAGTTAAGATAGTTTTGTAAATTAAATGCAGCAGAATGAAGACGAGATTTAAATCTCTAACTTCCTGCTCACAGAGTGTGAGTGATCAACAAACATAAATTAATGAATAACTTTCATCAGACCTTATGAGAAACAAATCCATAAATAATGAGTAACTGCTTTAATTCTGGGTTAGTGCTGTAAAATAACATCATATTACTAATTAAGTCTCTCCTGTATCCATCATCTATTCACTACTTTATTTACATCTCTGTGCTGCTCAGGCTCACGGGGGAGTGGGTGCATGTTTGTCTCCCACCCTCTTCATCTCTGATCTCCATCCAAAACCACGCATCCATGACCCGGGAACCTGCACCTTCACCTGAACTGAAAAAAGTCTGTTTTCAACAATTTCTTCATCTTGAAAATGTACCATGATCTTTATTTTGTAGATATGTAGTTGTGCTATTGTTCCATTGATGCATGCACATGGTTGACAGTCCAATAATTAATTTTTGTCCCAAAGCATGCAGCTAGAGGAGCCACACACGCTCTACATTTTTATTGATGCAATTTAGGTGCATATTAAATGGTTAAATCAGACTAAAAAAAACTTTTTAATCCAGTTTTTTCTTTCTTCTTAAATACATGGTCAATGAGGCCTCTTAAATAAAAAATACAAAACTACAAAGTGGCCGCACAGCCACTGGTTGAGCCTGAGTTAAGAAAAGAAGTCACAAAAAGCTTTACGTTTGTGATAAATCTTCTGTGTAAACATCGTCTACTTTATCTGCACTATAAGAAGTGCACTGGAAATGTCAATGATTAAAGCACAAACTCCAGTTTGAGTCAAAACTTCAAGCATGGTATAGAATTTTTATTCAAAATAATATGAACATGTTCAGGTAAAGTATAAAAGTATTATTTAAATATCTAAAGTAATCCAAACCTCAAAGACACTGAGGTTATTGTACCACCCTAACTCCCTTTCTAATGATGAAGGGGTCCAGACTGTTCAAAAGGCTTCACAGTTGAGCGACTGCAATATAAAAAGTTAAGCCAGAGGCTGTTTTGTAACAGTTTGGTCCGTTACGGGACATTTAAATCTGTGCGTGACAATTAGAGGCCACTCTGGGACAGCGACTCTGGACACCCTGGTTGAGGGGTGAAGCTGCTTCCAATAGACGTCCCTGTGCTGGTCTAAAACGTGGAGACACCATCGCATTCCAGCTTTATTCTGGGCAGCGGTTTGAAGATGGGGGTGACACTGCGCTGCTGTGGTTACCAACAATTTGACTGTGGGCTTCACGCTTTTTCAGTCCCTCCTGAATGCACACGTCTGCACACCCACTTACGCTCACTGCGTGGACGGACGGACACACACACACACACACACACACACACACACACACACACACACACACACACACACACACACACACACACACACAGAGAGAGTACAGAACTTTAAAAATCTAAACATTAAAGCATTTTTATTGTGCCGTTCCCCATTCTGTTGTTTAATTTTGAAAGTAAAAATGATTGAAAACAAGAAAAAACTTGGAATGAAACTGTAGACTAGAGAAATTCTGTAGTATTTATAAATCCCTGAGTGATGAACCTCAGGTAATGGTGGATTCCCTCCTGAAATAGACCACTGCTGGCTTATATATAGACTCCTGAAGTAGAACTCTTCAATTTGGAAACACCACAGAGACAGAACACACACACACACACACACACACACACACACACACACACACACACACACACACACACACACACACACACACACACACACACACAGCTGCACAGATTTACGCACAAAGCATGACCAGCATTTAAACATACTACATGTGACTTCCTGCCCTCTGAACCACACACACACACACACACACACGTGTGTGCACATACTCATGCACGTAAAAAAGAATCAGCCCATCTTCTCTTCTCTCTTTAATTCTAACATAGTTGCAGGCCTCAAACCACAGCTACCAGTGGAACACTGAAAATAACTATAACACACACGTGCACTATCAGAGGATGTGGAAAGGATGTGTGTGTGTGTGTGTGTGTGTGTGTGTGTGTGTGTGTGTGTTTGTGTGTTTGTTTGGGAAAAGGTAGAAAAAACAAAAGAGAATCATCAATCAGGGAAGGATAAAAAAAAAAGAGAAAAAAATGAAGGATTAAAGCAGCAAACCTGTTTTTTAAAGTTGGGTGATACAACAACACAAAGTTAATTAACCGGTAAATTAATGTCGGCGGAGAAAAAAACAACAGAAAAACTGAGAATCTGAGTAAAGAAGCTGGTAAATGATGTGTGATAGAAGGTTTTATTCATCCTACTGGACAACGATGTTCTCTAGCTTCTGATATATTTATAAAAACAATTAGGTTATAGGAATGATTTTATTGCATTAATTAAATATGTAAATGATCAACTAAAGAAACAAGAATGTTTGGGAGCAAATTTGTGCAGTAAGTATAAAATTATAAAAAGATTATTAATTTTGTGTGTGTGTTATGTTTGATTAGACTTTGGGGTTTTGGTGTTTATCAGAGAACTTTATAGAAACCGTGCCGCTGCAAAAGTGTTAGTTTTGAACACGACAGTGATAATGTTGTTAGGTGTGTTTAGGTTTAGGGAAGCTGGAAGGCTTTTATTTCCAGGAAACTAACAGAAATGCATTCAAAGAGACACAAATACTTCCCACCGGGGTGTGTGTGTGTGTGTGTGTGTGTGTGTGTGTGTGTGTGTGTGTGTCTGTGTCTGTGGTCTTGGGGACAGGAGGGGAAATGGTTTGTGTAAGTGTTGTTGGCAAAGTAAACAAGTGAGCATGTTTACGGGTGTGAAAATGCAACATCTGACATGGCTGTTAACTGCAGCACTGTGTGTGTGTGTGTGTGTGTGTGTGTGTGTGTGTGTGTGTGTGTGTGTGTGTGTGTGTGTGTGTGTGTGTGTGTGTGTGTGAGAGAGAGAGAGAGAGAGAGAGAGAGAGAGAGAGAGAGAGAGAGAGAGAGAGAGAGAGAGAGAGAGAGAGAGAGAGAGAGAGAGAGAGAGAGAGAGAGAGAGAATTCTGGCAGCAAACTAAAATAGAGAAGAAAATGCAGCTAGAAAGTAACAAAAATACACTCAGTTCCATTTCTCTTGAACACAATAATTATGAATCTTTTTTTCTCCCAAATGAACAAATCATACGGATGGTTTTAATCGATGTCTAGATTACTGTTTACACTGAAGTGCTCATCATTTTAACATCACATTAACTCTGAGGGTTTGTGTTTCTTGGCAGGAAAACAGATTAAATGTGTCTGATGGACTGTATGCACCATTTTTCACATGACACATCCCTTCAACCAAATCTCAGTGACTTCTGCAGCTTCATCGTTCCCCTCCCTCCTGACCTGACTCACCTGGAGCAGCCAGATTCTGGACCTGAGCAGGAACCTGGACATTAGCATCAGAAGCCAGAGTGAGGCGACCGCCTTTGCCGATACGATCACACAGCAGGGCGATGTGCTTCTTGAGACGAGCGGTGTCCTGAGGAAGGCCAAGCACGAGGCCTCCTGTCTGGGCCAGAGTAGTGGCCTGGTCTTTGGGGCTTTGGGACAAGCAGCTCCGCAGAAGATGAGACACGGCAGCATCACAGCTCTCCTCCCATCCCTGTGAAGAGTGAGGGATGAGAGGAAGTGTTAAAGATCTGCTTCCTGTTCTGTTCAGTTTATCACTTTTCGGTGTGTATTTCAGGACTTCCTCAGGTCTCAGGAAAACAGTGTCAGAAATCAGACCATAAAGGAAAAATGCACCAGGTTTCATTCAAAAACCAAGCAGACTTCTGTCAGAAAATAAGCACCTCAGATAGATGTGATCTGACTAAGATAGAAGCATCCTGCAGGTGGCTCCATGTTTCCCAAATGTGCCATCAACATACTACAGTGGCAAAGGGCCGTGGAGACTCCATGTGCGCAAACTGTCAACAGCCTACACAGTTAGTGGTTTTCAGGAAGTTTATTTTATTTTGGCAAGTTAAGAGAGGAAGCCCGTTTGTCTGACGAGGGTTGCTTTTTCCAACTGCACCATCTGGCTTTCAGAACAACAAACGGGAGACACGCTAGAAAAGATATTTGCGATTTAGCCATCAGTTGCATGCTGAGGCTACCGGTGATGAAGATGCCATCAGCAAAAAACCACCGGTTCAGATCGGTGAATTTCTTGATGCCCATTTTGTTCTTGATGGTCTTCCTGAGATCTTAGGATGTCATAAAAAGTACACCGTAAACTTAGGTTGCTACTTTTATTTTTACTCACACATTTTATCCAGTAATTATACATGTCAGGCTGAGGAATACATGACTTATGTGTGTTTGCTGGGTGAATGTAGAGAAGGGGTGAAGGTGTGCTGACAGGTACCTATCCTCCCTCCTAACTTGTCACGCCGCCACATTGAAAGGTCCCTAATGAACCATAATAACAGGTAATCAGGTCTGTAATGACAGTAAAGAGATACATATGAAGAGAAAGAAAGAACAAAAAAGAAAAGCTTGTAAAAGGTCAAGAAGATGAGTTGATAACAGGAGAGGATATTAGAGACAGAAGACAAGATGAGCAGAAAGATGAAGCAAGAGCAGAGAGAATAAAGAAAAAAGTAAAAAAAATGTTTAGGAAGAAAGAAATGAGAGGGGAGGAGAGGAGGGAGCTGAGTGACCTACTCTTACCACAATACCTCACCGGGACATCAAATACTTGAAACAAAAAAACTACAGGTTTCCAGGTGTGGATACTTGGCAACCTTTCTGACAGACGTTCCACATGCTGCGGAAGGAAATTAAATGTCTTTAAATTTAAACTATAGACATTCATCCTAGAGAAAGATGGGAAGTGAAGAAAGGTGGAGCCAAACAGGTGTGGACAAAGGAACAAAAAACATTCAATTAGGGTAAAAGTTGCTTTTCCCCGCCCAGAAACAAGATCAGGTTCTGGTTTGATCTTTGAGGACAACTGTGAGGTTGGTTGCATTTGGAAAACATTTGTGAAGTTCACCTCATGCAAACAGATCCCAGTTTGATCCGAAATATATAAAAGTCTTGTTTCCTGCTTATTCTATTCAAAACAAACGGACCAAATCAGGTCCTGATGGAGAGAAATCACAGGTGTGATAGCAATCCACAGCCTTGAGTGGCTCCCAATGAGATGAACAAATGCTCAGAAAACATTCCCCGAGTCCTGACATTCTCATCCAGGCTGGGAAAGTCATTTGAAGGGCCAGAGTTTTGGCTGAGTGAGAACCATGTTATGTATTCTGCTCCTAGGGGGAAACAAATTGTTCATACATTATTGGTTCTACAAATCAAATGGGACTCTGGTTTGAAGAAAGTATTAAAATAAATGATTTGGTAATTAATTACAGCTGGATGGTAAATACGGAACAATAAGGGATTCTAAATGTAGGGGGATGGAAAAAATGGAGCAATAAGCTGTTCAAATACTTTCATTCAATTCAATTCAAATTCAATTCAAAAATACTTTAATTAATCCAAGAGGGAAATTGATTGCTGTAGTAGCTAATAATAATAATAATAATAATAATAATAATAATCAATTCATTAAAGAGTTATTGTATATTACAATTCCAAAAGAATCTAGTAACAATTTGGTATTTTTTATACAGCACGAGTTCAAGAAGGTGATCATCAGTAGGCAACTGTGTTTTGTTTTATAATAATTTTTGGAATCTCTAGGAAAATATCTTGTTTTCCATGAAAATATTCAATTATTCTGAATTGGACGTATAATAAATGAATGGGATGTTCAGATTCTATAGGGAATAAGGAAGGTTTGCTTCTGTTTATTTTTATCATAAAACTAAAAAGCACATTTTCAAGCAATTACAGCATGCTACTTTTTACATTTCTAATGACATGAATGAGATTTCACCCCACGCGTACAGACAAATCCATTCCAGCCAGAATTTGGATCAACTTCTTGTTCTTTTAACATCAATTCATAGTTTTGTTTCAAATGCATCAGTAGTTTGAGTTGTGCTTTTCTATTGAGTTAAAAAAATAATTTCCATTACAATCTTGATTTCTCTGCATGTCCTGTTGCATATTCAGTCCAACTTCAGTGTTTTTCCATGGAAAACAAGAGCATTCCCAAAATCTGAGGAGTGGTGTGAGTGCTCATTTAAAAATAATGCATTAATATATTTTATAACGCTTCATTCCTGGTATAATCTACAGCAACTCTGATGCAAATCAAATAGGATGCAATAATTTCTAAGAAAAAAATACTTGAGAACATTTGATAAACAAACATTTTTTAGAAAAAAATAACACTGATGGTCATCCAAACAAGTCGTGGGATGGGGGCGACGGTTGTGGTTAAAGCCAGGAAGAGATTGTGGTTATTGAGAATAAACAAAGACAAAATTAAGGGCAATTATCTAAAACAAGTTAGTGGATATCCTGATTATAATCAGCTGTGTGTTGTTCACATATATGGGACTACAATATGGTTGCTGCTTGAAGAATCAACAAGACATGAAATATAATCCAGGAAGTCACGTTGGTGTAAGAGATTGAAGGGTTTAAAAGCTTTATACATGCCAAAACACGGCGTCCTATGTTCATGCACAGGATTGTTTTGCAGCTTTAGAAAGTCACCAAAGAGGCATCCATTCGTCTACGGTCACAGAGATTGGAAGGTCGGAAGGGAAACAGTGAAAATATGCTTAAAATAAAAAGGAAAACACGAGTGAAAAAGTGGAGCAAGAAGAAAAATGTCAGCAAAAATGAATGAGTAAGGGGAACAAAGACAATTAAAAGTCCTGTTCCCATAGAATCCATATAATACTTTGATTTAGAAAGAATAGATGAGGTGAAGAAGCATGCTAAACATGAAAACATTCTACAACCCTTCATCGCCTGCATTGGCCGCAGAAAGGTAAGAAACAGAGAATTGATCAGGTCTGAAAAAGCTAGTCCCTTCTACGTCACCGGAAAAATTAGCATGCATGGCCCCGCCCACTTTGGCTTGTGACCAACCACAGGTAGAGAGAGCATAGCGCGTGCGTCTCTGTTAGTTGAGGCTGGCAATTACCATCTCCACAACATGGCAGAACACATTCAGACTTGTGTTGTTTGTGGAGGTAAAACATCAACGCTCCTTTTGTATTCAGGAAAGAGTGAATAAAGGCAGCAGAAGAGCCGCCTTGTTAGCCAATCAGAGGTGATTTGCATATTATGAATACTGATGAGTAAGACTCTTAAGCCCTTTTCAGACAGACATTCTGGAACATTTGCGGACAATTCAATCCGGTTTTTAACCGGAACTGTGTTTTCAGACACACCACTTTTGTACCGGAACTTGTCCTTTCGGCTGCGTTCACACAGCAGGGAAAAGTTCCAGATGTCTGACGGCGGCGGGGGGTGGGGTGGGGTGGGGGAATCGGACTTATGTTAAGAAGAAGAAGAAAATATCATTTCTATAGCGCCTCTCAAGATAAAAATCACGAGGCGCTTAAGCATAATTCTGCGCACACGAAGACGCATAAGAGACCTGGATGATGAAGCTCAATGGTTAAAGGAATCACTGAAGCGGTGTGAAGCGCTCCGTCGCGCGTCTAGACGGTACCGTAGGAGGCGAGCTGCCGTGGTTCGCCGCCGCATGCTACAGCAGCGGGCTATCTAGGTGCGCACAGCGTCCCCCGGTCCCCTCCTCCTCCCCCTCCCTCTTGTCTGAAGCAGCCACCCTGTCGGTAACATGTCCGGACCTGTTACTAGGGGCTTCGTCCGGATAAATTCCGGAACACGTTATCCGGATGTTTGTATTCAGACAGAAAGGTCTTACGGACAGATTCCGGAACATTTCCGTTTTTCATGGCCTGTCTGAAGAGGGCTCTACAGGGCTCCCAGCGTTTGCATTCCTCCATGCAAATGCTTGAGAGTTGGCAGCCCCGTCATAATTCTGTCTTTTTTGCCTCCACTCCTCCAGCAAACTCTCCTAGGTCCCGAAACAAGAGCGCCAGAGCCTTTTCCCACAGAAAATGGCTCACAAGATCGCAGCATGAGTGAATGGGAGCTTAAAGATGGAGAAATCAGAAAACGTGCTTCGGGTGAAGGAAAGCAAGAGTATTTGGGGGCAGATACAGGAAAAGACAACTGGGCAGGAAGAAAATGAAGACAGTAGCAGAGAAGGAAGAGGAATGCCTCCAGAGGAAGAAGCGTTCTGCTCGGGTGAAACTAAATGAAACATGCCACACAGATGCATTTCCTCCTCTCTCTTATCTGATATTTCTATTTTCATTTATTTTATTTCATTTGAGACATACTTTAAGATCACATCTAAGAAGCACTTGAAATTCTTGGTGCAGGAAATGGAGAGCTATTGGCTGGATTTTAAATCGCAGCAGGACCTACAACCTTTATCTTGTGTGATCAGACATTTTCTCACAACTGTAACAACCAAAACTAGAATCTGCTACTTTTTTTGTTGTATTTATTTATTTTTCTCAGCTTGTTATCTTGCAGCTATTTTGAGCTCTGGTTTATAAAATGTAGCCCATGTTAAAATTCTTTGGCGAAACAATGTTTGCCAAAACCTGAACATTACCTGATTTAACACTGGAATCTCACACAGCAAAAATATTCTGCTTACCGAGTCGTTTACCTGAACAACAAAATTAGCATTTCAAATGTGTATTTGAGGAATTTGAGTAAAATTACAAAGGAAGACTTTGGCTGCATCAGAGAAACATACTGTTATTTCCTCCCTTTTGTTTGAACTGACTTTGAAATTTTGATAAATCACCAAATGAAGTCCTTTGCATCTCCTTCACCTCCACCTCATCTGTCTTTCTCCTCCTTCTCATTATCTCTTCAGCCTCTCCATTTTTCCCTTTAATCCACCTCTTCAAATCTCTGTCCTTCTCTGTGACTTTACCGACGACATTCCTGGGATTTATCCCTCCTAAAGAAAGTCTTCTGAGAACGGGATGGAGAAGGTCAAAGGTCAAGAGTGAGATGAGGTGCATCCATACCCGACACCTTCAAATATTTAGATTTCAGCGTCTCTTTGAGTATTCATTAATGATGAATGACTGGCTGTAAAATCATTTGTATAGTCGACACATTTTTAAAACCTTGTAAGTAATGTTCAAGACTTTTGCTTTTAAAGTAACACCAAATAGATTTTAAACTTTAAGCTAGAGCTTTAACATTGATCTCAGTGATTGGTGAGTTAGAAACTTGACCAGAATCATATTTGACAACACCCTGCAGCCCTCTGCTAACCAAAAACCATTCTTGATAGTTTTGTTGAGCAGAGGTGCCCTACCTGCTTTATGGCTGTTAGCTGTAATGCTAGCAGTTAGCATTTTCAGTTTGCCGATTGTCAATAAAAAGAACAAGAAGAGGAAAAAGAAGAAATTTGCTTTTTCTGTTGGCATCATCGTGGAGCCTGGAAGTAAAAGTAAGTAAGTTTGGAGGTGAAGCAATGACCTAAAACCAGAGCGAACATCGGCGCGGCCTACACTAGTTTTAGAGCGTTAAAGGAGGCTACAAATCACGGACTGATGGTGACCTGTCTTTGTTGCTATTGGACTTGTAAATAATATTTTTTGTTCAACAGTGTGGATCTTTTTACTTCATGGTTTATTTCAGTATTAGTGGGCTCATGTTAGTGTTAGCTAGCTACAGCAGCGTTGTTTACGACAGTGGCAATTCCACTTTCAGCCAGTAGAGTGGAGGAGCAGAAAAGTGTCTAGTGTTACTTTAAACATATTTATACTTTTATTTTATGTTTCTTTCATTTGGGAATGTCTTCTGTGATAATGGGAGCTGCTGGAGTTCTAAATAAGAACAACAATGCTGACTATTTAAAAGAAGGAGAAAGAAAAATGACATCATCATGTTTATTTGTCTGTAGTCACAGCAGAGAATGGATTGTGTTTACTGAAGCGTGTGCACTGTGCACCTGTGTCCCTTGATATTTTGGTTTTGACCCTAATTACTGCTAATTCACTTAATGCTAATAATCCCATTTAAAACAACAGGCACACTTTCACAGCCTCCTGAGGATTACCAGCTGACCTTCTTTTCTGTAGTTTTTTTTTGATGAATGCGTGCGTGTGCGTGTGTGTGTGTGTGTGTGTGTGTGTGTGTGTGTGTGTGTGTGTGTGTGTGTGTGTGTGTGTGTGTGTGTGTGAGAGAGAGAGAGAGAGAGAGAGAGAGAGAGAGAGAGAGAGAGAGAGAGAGAGGTCTTCAGATAGAGTATTCGTCTTCAAAAGGTCAGTTAATTTTGCAAATGAAGGTCTGAATGAAGCAGCAAAACTACATCGTATACACATTTGCAGATCTCTTGCAGGAGATGGTGAAGCTCTGTAAACAAATTTGTTTATTCAGGGTCCCCTGCAACATGAACACACACATACACAGCTACACACATGTTGCTCATACAAAGCTCGGACTGTGTTAATGTTGGTTTTAAAAAGCTGGATGTCATCAATTCACAGCAGGAGCTAGTGTGGCTTGAATTTATGATCTGATCTCCCATACGCACGCACGCACGCACGCACACACACACACACACACACAAGGGCTCCTGTCCTCAGCATTCACCTGTCAGCTTCTGAAAAGGAGTGCGTGTGCCCAGGGACCTTTTTTATACGTTCCTTTAAAAATCAATGTGTGTGCGCTCGCGTGCATACGTGTGTATGGAAGATCAGATAGTACATTCGAGAGAGAGAGAGAGAGAGAGAGAGAGAGAGAGAGAGAGAGTACCAGCTGTGGTGTGTCCTGCAGTAGCGGTAGCAGTGTAGCTTCCAAGATGGCAGTCTGATCGGGGGTCAGTCCTTGCCACAGCGACATCAGCAGCACCAGAAGGTGCGTGGCACTTCGCAGACGAACAAACGCCTGCTCCAGCAGTGCCCGGTTGTCCTCAGCAGCCTCCGCCAAAGCCATCACCTGCAGAAGACAGAAAGCAAGACAAATCTTAGCACAACTTTTTTTTCAGCTTCATAAATAAGAAATCATGTTTATTTCAAGCAGATTACAAACCATGATTTAGTTATTTCACATTCTTCAACAGCACATCCATTTACCTGAAGACCCTCTGAAATATTGCTGCACTGCCTGAGTAAACAGATTTATGGGTATCAAGCATCTACAGCCAACTCCCTCAGGTGGCTGATTTACTTTTTGTTTATGTTAGTCTGAAAATTCCCACAGGACAACTTCATCACAGCATGCTGTTTATGCAACGAGAGCTGTCACTGGATCCCCAAACATAACACTGAATCTATTATTAAAAGTGTAAAACCTCACCAGATCATTTCTCACAACATTTAGAAGTGTGCGCATCAAGGTTTAGTCTGCTAGAATGCTGGTCTATTTTTGTTACTCCACTGCAGAAACTAATTCCAGCTCAAGACAGCTTTTATGTAAAGTAAAGGGTGTCAGAACTAAAGCTATGAACTTGTCACTGTGACAAAAACAGAATCCCATTGCGACATTTGTTGCAAAACTGCACACACTTGAGCTAAATTCACCCCCCATAAAATAAAAAAATAAAAACTAACTCACACAGAAGGATGGAGTGGAAGTGGATGCCAAAGCTTGTCTTGCAATAATAAAGATAATTGTTAAAGTTTAAGGTATCTTGGAAACAACGTGGTTTTGCAATCTGATCTTCCGCTACTTTGTTACAAAATCATTGTGCATCTTTTAGCAAGAATCATAAATTTACCAAACATTAAAAACAAAACAGTTAAAACTACACAGCTCTATGTTTACATGTCTTCAACGCCAAAGTGAAGTGATGCTTAGAAACAGAGAGAAACTGAATACTTGCACTAAAACACAGAAGTTAAAGGTGAGGCTTAAGTCTGTCCGGCTTTTATGCAAATATGCAGCTCTGCAGCAGACAACAACTAAACAAGTGAATGCATGAATGAGGTGTGGTGAGACCAGGTGGACCTGACCTACAGCGAGGGGTCAATCCCTCTATTCCTCTATCATTGCAACAACAAAGAGGTGAAGATGAGTGGAGTGGCGAGGACAAGCGACGACAGAGCAAGACATATGGAATTGAAGACAACAAGAAAGGACAAGTCGGACAAAGAGAAGGAAAGAAACGGGAGACGAGGGAGGTGGACGAGAGAGATGAACAAACGAGAGTGAAAAAGATGAGGTGAAAGCAGATCTGGGACTAATGGACGACTGTGTGTTCAGATAAATTAACAATCTGCAGGCCTGAGTGCCAGCTCACACCAGCGGTTTGTTTGACAAATGGATTTGGTACTTGACATTTGATCCTGGAAAAACAGAAATGAAAGACATGAAGAAATAAAGAGGGTGTGTGTGCATGTGACTGTGTGCTAGGGTTAAACAGTATTTGCCAGAGTAAGTCATTCTGATGTGCATAAGGCTAAGCTATAAACAGGTTAAAACTCCAGATCGCTTCCCTTTGGTTTTGTGGTAACTTCAAAAAGTTCCTTTGACTGAACCGGGGTCGTCTATGGGTGCCGTGTCACTCACACATGGATCGTAAGCTACTCGCACTTTCCATCAACATAAACTCCTTAAACACAACAGTTTCTTGTAACTTCCACGTTTCCATCTGATCGAACCCTAAGAAGCTCTTCCATTATTTTAGCTTCATCCTCAAAGAGCCTTTAGACAGACAGACAGACAGACAGACAGACAGACAGACTTTATTGATCCCAGGCTGGAAAATAGCAGCAGTACTTACACACATTAAGACAATCAACATAATTTTTAAGCATGAGAGACCCCACACACAAGTGTACCAGCCTGGTCTTACTGTGTGTGATGTACGCCCACATAGTAAAAACTACAGAGAACCCGATTTCACACACAAATATTTCCCAGTCAGATGGGAAATCTCACGAAATCAAATGTGGCACTGATGTAAACAAACATGGTGGAGGGAAAGCATGCAGCGAGTTTCTGTCACCTCGCTTTCCGATTGGTACCACGTCACATTCAAGAAGCATCACGCTCATTTGTTCTCAAAAATGGGACCAAGACAATCCAACATGTTTGAAAGCCCAGATTTTTGATTACAGCATTCCTGATGCGCTTCTGGGTGGACCACAGCACTAACAACACATCACACATGACAGATATATCTGATCAGATCATCTTTAGAGCCCTTACTGTAATCAAGCACATCTTTAAGATTGTTGGAAGAGGAGGATCGGGTATAAAATCGGCATGAGTATTTCGCCCTGTGAACCGAGCTTAAGGGTGGGAATATCAGAATATTCTAGGAACATAGGGAAAAATGCAATTATTTTTACAATGTTAAAAGTGGCACTAAACATCAAACTGATCACTGGTTAGGAAATATTATGATTATGTTTTCGTTGTAAGGAAACTACAGACTTATACATACATCCTACTTGAATGGCCACCTTATTGAAGTAAGAGTCTGGTAAATGGGAGATTGGTGATCCAGTAATGGACTTTAGTACACAACTGGTAGGAAAGAAACTCCAAAGTCTGAGGAAAATAAACAGATATTGGCCTGGAATATTTGCTTACCTTAACAGACAGATCTGGGTTTGTCTTCACTCTTTTTACCCACTAAAGAGTTGCTTTAGGTTAGTGGCTGTAACCAGGGGTGGTCGTACACATGCTAACATATCTCTGCTTAAACTGGGATGTTTTCCTAGCCAGTCTTTGGAACAGGAAAAGAACTCCCAAAAATCAGTTCTGAGTATCAAGTTGTCTTCGAGAGTCTGACAATTGCAGTTTTTATGTCATTGTTTGCTATGAGAAGCATTTAATGTTTGTTTGAACTTTGAAGTAGAAGTTATTATAGTAATGCTAAGTTTTCGCTGATTGTTCACAACATTTTCATCTCCAAAACACGCCACCCAGTCCTAAAACTCGTTTTGACATAAACCCCTGATATTTCAATGGATACTTTTAGGACAAACACACATAGATCTTCGCTCTTAAGAAACATACACACACATATATCCCAAACCACCCTGCCCCTGGGGTCTCTGAAAGTGTGGGTGTATTGATAAAAGGCTCCAGGTCCACTGAAGGGGTCCATTGTTGGCAGCGGCTCGACTCCACACACACTCTGATTGATGCCAGCTGAGAGAATACAAAGACACATTTAGGCTGAACACACACACACACACACACACACACACACACACACACACACACACACACACACACACACACACACACACACACACAGGAACATTGGATTAAAGAATATGCACACACGTGTTTTAAAGTTTCACACGAACCGACACAAACTCACATAAACAATTAAAAAAGCTGGAACACAAGATATTCTACACACACATCCTCAAAGAAAGCACGGCCATCTAAGTATGTGCCAACACAAACACACGACGATACACAGTAGCAGTGTGTTAACAGCTGAACTACCGATGACCTTAAGCAACCTGCATCAGAAGCTGCCGAGGTCGAGACCTCCTGACGTGTCTGCGATAAAGCCTGGACTCTTTTCACAACACATAAAAGGGACTTTCTGATTCATCTTAGTTTCTTAAACCTGGTTTACGTCTCAATGACAAGGTGAAACTCTGTGAAAGTGTTTTTCTTCACCACGTTATGCACATACACTAAAAATTCTAAACGCGATCAAAAGCAGAGAAAGGAAAATTATGTTTACATTCTCCTCTGTTTATCATTGCACTTCGTATCCCCCCCCCCCCCCACACACACACACACAAGTAAAAGGGCCCATAACCACACACCCCGTCACACAAGCAGCTATGTTTGTATATTCACACACCATTGCACTAAAATATGCACACACATGTACTGCAGCCACAAGAAACACAGCGAAAAACACAAACAGATATCATAGTTAGCCTTATCTATGGAAACGCACGATTTAGAGCACAAACATGAGTAAACATATACAAACGATGTGGTTAAAAGGAAGTCATTTGACAGGGTGAACTGTATGACGTCTGGTAGCTTCGGTTACAGCCCGTGGAAGAATCAATCCGACAGGAAACTCAAGAGCTTGAAAAAGTGAACAGAATCAGAAAACTACAAAAACATCTACAGATTTCAGAGGCAAGAACATCCTAAATCAATACAAGTGATGTAAGAAAACTATTATAGCATCAAATAAGGAATAATCAACATAAAAAAATACATCATCTAATTTGTTTCATTTCCAATTGCTGAAAAACATCAGCAGGAGTATGGCTGGGCAATATGGCCTCAAATCTATATTTGCAATATAATCTGAAGCATGTGCAATTACGATGTATACTGTGATATATTGTTTCCTTTGTTTATATATGTCAAAATGACATGCTATAAAAAATCCTCATATGGAAAATATATTGCAGCAGAATAAAGACGTCCAAAAAGTGTAGAATGCTCCTCCTCCTACCGCTACAAGCTTGCAGTCACTGCCATTCTGTTGTTCCAATGTCGGCACGGGTGCACATCCTAGTGACATCATGTGTTATCGCAATATCGCGGTAGAGCCAAAAACTTATTATTACCCAATTTATATCGTTTCTACCTTACATCGTTTATATTGCCCACCACTAAGCAGGAGTTCATTTATTTATGCACAAATCTTAAAATTCTACTTCTAAAATAATATAAATCACAGCATATACTGCTACGCATATGGAAAAATAAATTACTCAACACAATAAAACAATCAGAAAAAAGAAGATAAACAGTGGCGTATTTGCCATGAACTGACTGACTCTGGAACACAAATAGCCTGAGAAACAAGAGAGCACAAAACACCAGTCGCCGTTTCTAGATCCAAATGTCTTTCATTGTCCGTGACTTCAAACGGAGTTTTTCTTTTGGGGAATTTTTGGTAGTTCTGATTTTGAAGTTTTAGCAGCTGGCTTTTTCTCCTTCTCAGATATTATTCAGCGAGGAACCTCTTACAGCAGTGGTGTTCTGTTGATAAA